ACCTTTTGGTTAGTAGCTGTAGCTCTTAACTACTACACCACCAGGGTTTCCAGAACTACATTAGCCAAGTCCAATTAAGTTATTTTCTTACCATAACAAGCAATCCCTTCCTACCTGAGCTGTCATCACTAAAAAGAAAGAAGGGAGAACTATTTATTAAAGTAGGTATTTCTTTTCTATTCTGGCTTGTTTCTCATAACAAAGGTATGGGTTTAGTCTATAAAAAATAGTTAACTTTTCTCAACAGATACCTCTAAAATCACTGCAGCAAGAGGGAACATGGTGAATTACATACTAGCTTTTAAAGCTTGTACCTGAAAGTGTCATGTGTCACCTCCGCTCCTATTTCACTGAACCAAACCCAAAAACCAGTCAATTCCAACTCATAGCAACCCTATAGGACGGAGTAGAACTTCCCCATAGAGTTTCCAAGGAGCACTTGGTAAATTCGAACTGCCAACCTGAGTTGCAGGTTAGCAACTGAGTTCTTAACCACTGTGCCACCAGGGCTCTATATTTCACTGGGGAAATCAAATCTTATGACTATGCCTAATTTCAAAGAGGATGGGGAGGTGCAGTCCTACCATATGCCCCAGAGGCAGAAAGTCAGAAATATTTGATGACTACTACTGATGACTACCACAACTGACTACCCTAGAGATTATGGAATGCATTTTTTACTTATTATAAGCTTTTCCTGTATAATGCAAGATTTTAGAACACATTGCCTCCACTTTATCCTTCTCCTGACTTATATGCTATTAGTGGTGGTTTTCTAAAAAAAAATTCTTTATATTATTTTGAACTCCACAAGTTAATATTATTATTGTTCTATATGATTTTATTCATTGAGATTAACCCACGTATTCACCCTTTTGTTACTCTTCTTTCCTTCCTGCAGGTCAGAACTTCTGCGATCACTTTCTTTCTCCGTAAAGAATATTGAAGTTGATGACAATTTTTTTTCCATTTTTATCTCTCTGAAAATGTCTTTATTTCAACTTCATTCTTGAAGGGAATTTCCCTGAGTAAACAATACTCTGTCTGCAGAGGTTTTTTTTTTTTTCAGGATTAAAAAAATGTTATTCCACTGTTGTCTTACCTGATTTGTGTTGTTTATATTGAGAAGTCAGGTATTGATCTGTTTTTTGCTCCTTAGAAATCAAATATTCTTTTTTCCTCTGGCTTCTTGTACAACTTTTTTTTTTTTTTTTGCCTTTGTTTTCAGTGGACTTAGAATTATATGCTTAGGTATGGATTTTTGTTTATCCTGTTTAATTTTGTTTAAGACTTTCTGAATGAGTGTCTTAATGCTTTTATCAGTTTTAGAAAAGTCTTTCCCATTACGTCATCAAACATTGCTTCTGCCCTGATCTCTCCTGTAGGACTCCATTTATACCTATTTCAAACCTTTTGGTGTATCATCTATATATCTTATCCATCTTCTGTATTTCATTTTTATCAGTCTACTTAATTCTGGCTATTTTCTTCTGGCCTGTCTCCTAAATCAGTAATTCTTTTTCTATTTATAGCTAATCTGATATTAAACTTATCCACTGAATTCTTAATTTTAGTTTTTATAATTTTAAGTTGTAGATTTACACTTGAATCTTTTTTTTTTATCATTTCCAATTCTCTGCACAAATTCTCAATCTTGTCTTTTGTTTTCTATTGTATAGTAAGTGTGAATTATGTCACTCTGTTCCTACTGTCTCTTTGTTTCTGCTAGTTTTCATTTATGACTTAACTGCCTCATTCCTGGTCATTTTTCAATTTGCAAATTTTTTGTTGTTGTAAAGCTTTTTTTTTTTTTTGGTAGTTGTAAAATTTTGTAATTGAAAAATTGTAGAAATCTGACCCTGTGATAATGTTCTCTTCTTTCAGTTTTCTAGTCAACCACCAGTTCATCCTTATTCTGTGGCGCATTCCTTCACAGGCCAATGAGAAGGAAGTCCTTCAAAGTCCCTATCCTGAACATGCCTTGGACTCCAATCCCTTACTCCCTAATTCTGCTAGACTTTCAAAATTGCTGCTCAGGATCTCAGCCACCCTCTCTAAAGCACACAGGAAGAAAGTAGCCCAGTTCTCTGTACTCACTCCACACACACTCTCCCACCCACCTCCATCCCCCACCCCAGTTCTCTGTCTTGCCCTGGATTCTGGCTGGTAATTCTTCACTGTCTTGTTAGCTCTCCAGTGCTTTCAGGTGGATATTTGTTGATCTGACGTTCCTGGTTATTTTCATGGGGGAGTTAGTTCAAATTACCTCATTCACTGTTATCAGAAATGGAAGTCTGGGGTTAGTGTTCTTACTAGCCTTTTTTAAAAAGTTGAGGTCTAAAATTTCTGCTTTATCTTATAGTAAAGCAGTTGATGAAAATAACATCATCACTAATTTTAACTAATAATGTTTATAATGGTTAGCCCCTTTTTGAATGTATCCTATGTTCTTAGTTTTAATATCCATAAGTCTCTCTAGTATTTTCTTACCTTCCAATAATAATCTTGCCACTGTGTGACTGTATGATTAATTTCCTCTTTGAACTGCAGTTTTCAGGAGTTGATGTCGATCAGGCATTATTTCAGCCCTTTCCATCAGAAATTATATTTCAGAACTACACTCCCTGTGAAGTCTATGAAGTTCCACTGATTTTGAGGAACAATGACAAAGTAAGTATATTCGCTGGGATGGCTGAACCTTTCCAGGATACATAAAAAGGGGTTAAATAAAATGGAATCCCATAGAATCTTAGATAAGTTCTTTAATTTGAAAGATCTTAAAAAAAAAAGTCTGAAAAGCATGCCCTTTGAATGTAAGCTCAGTGAAGACAAGGCTATATTCGATTGTTTGTTACTGTGTGTTCAGTCCAGAACAGTACCCAAAAAAACAGTAAATCTCTGACACATGCACGAGCTATTGAATAAATGATCGACTAAATGGATGGAATGAAGGTTTCACATATGGCCGGTTGGGTTAGATTTTCATTTAAGACAAGGCAATTACTTAATATTTCCATACTCTGCACTAGAGCTACCAGTTCCCTAATTCAGTGTTTGAACTTTACTTACAGGAATTGCAATTGCTGGCCAATGCATTTTCACAAGGAAATTCTGCAAATTTTTTTTTTTTTTTTTAATTTCTTTTCTCTTGTAAAAAATGTAAATCTTTTTCTTCCTATTCTGTCTCCTCCCATCTACCTCATATATACTTCATGTTTTGTCTGCAGATAGTTTGGAAGGTGTCTTCCACTGTCTTTACCTTGTCTCCTTGTGATTGCAACTGAAGATTTCTTCTCTAGTCTCTGTCTTTCTCTTTAAAGATGACTTAGGGTTTATTTCAAGAAAAAGTATTAAATGCCTGAGGATTTCCTTGACATCTAACAAGAATGAAAGAAAGTATAACACAGAAGATTCAGCATGAAACACAGTTAAGTGTGAGAAGTAATCAAATGGAGAAGAAGGTATCTGAGAGATGCTAAACTTCAGATGTAAAGACAAGTAGGAATACTTGTAGGAGCCTAAAGATGTGGGGACAAAATATTCTAGCTATAAGAAGAAGGAGAAAAATAAGTGAGGACTATGTAAGAATCCAAGGCAGATGGGAAGACTTGCAGTTAGGTTCAGTGCAGTAACTCATTAAAGGAATCAGTGATGCCTTTCAGAGATCAATGAGGTGATTTAGTGACAGCAAAGTCAGACTCTGGAGAAAATGGTACATTTCGTTCTTTACCGTAGCGCTACCAAGAGAAGCTCGGGACAGAAGATAAAAGGGCAGGCAGAGAGAAGGAAAAGTATCTGAGGTACTCAGGGTTGTGTTCCTAGACCTCAAGAAGAGGTATGTTATATAGATATTAGGACTCTTATCTTTTCATGTAGGGCTGCCAAGTAATTCACTTTCTCACTTCCAGTTCTCTTTTCCCTTTCTCCATTACTGTTTGACCCTTGTGCAGGTATTTTTAGGTTATTAAAGGCAAGAGGAGCTAGTCAAAAGGAACGCTTGGCCACTCATCCCTGACCCTAAATAAGGAATGATTATCACTAGGTATATATGAACAAATCAAGGGCAAGGGGCATGTGTAAGTTTTGTCTGCCAAAGACTACTCAGTCCCTATAGGTAACATCTAGGTAAGATGCAGCCAGAATGTTGGAGGACACCCTCTGAAAAGGGCAAGTCCAGTTACTAACAAGCAGACTGCTTTGTCTCAGCTAGGCAGGCTTGTTCTTGGGTGAGTTACTCCCAGGGCCCCAGTTCTAGGTGGCTGACATAACTCTGCTTCTCTACTGCCTTAGTTCATGGTCTCAGAAGGAACCACTGGGTCAGCTTTGGAGCACCAAGAAGACTTATGTGCCATTCCCTGTTTATCTGCTTTCTCACTGGCATGGACTGCAAAAGACAGCCTGTTTAGTCATTAAGTTTTGTCTCTTTCACACACAGGGTGAGAATAAGCCATGGCCACTCTATAAGCCACAACACAGTTCTACTTCAGTTAAAATTATAAGCACCCAGAGTCAGACTAGCTTGAGTTCAGATTACAGCTGTGCCGTCTGCCAGCTGGAGTCCTTGGGCAAGTCACTTCATTTCGTGGGACAATAATAGTATCCTGTTCTTTTTGTTTTTTGTTGTTGTTGTTGATTGAGTTTTAGCTGAAAGTCTACAGTGCAAATTAGTTTCTCATTCAAAAATTTATACACAAGTTGTTTGGTAACATTGGTTCCAATCATCGCAATGCCTCAGCACTCTCCCCCTTTCCCTTTACACCCCAGGTTCCCCGTGTCCATTCGTCCAGGTTTCCTGTCCCTTCCTGCCTTCTCGTCTTTGTTTTTGGGCAGGTGTTACCCATTTGGTCTCATATACACAATTGAACTAAGAAACAAGTTCCTCACATGTGTTATTGTTTGTTTTATAGGCTTGTCTAATCTTTGGCTGAAAGATGGACTTGGAGAGTGGCTTCAGTTCTGAATTAGCAGGGTGTCCAGGGCCCATAGTCTTGGGGTTCCTGTAGTCTCTGTTAGATGAGTAAGTCTGGTCTTTTTTTGTGAATTTAAATTTTGTTCTACATTTTTATCCTGCTCTGTCTGGAACCCTCTGTTGTGATCTCTGTCAGAGCTATTGGTGGTGGTGGCTGGGCACCATCTAGTTCTTCCAGGCTCAGGCTGGTGGAGGCTGTGGTTCATGTGGTCCATTCGTCCTTTGGACTGATATTTTCCTTGTGTCTTTGGTTTTCTTCATTCTTCTTTGCTCTAGATGTGATGGGACCAATAGATGTATCTTAGATGGCCACTCGCAAGTTTTTAAGACCCCTGACACTGCTTAGCAAAGTAGAATGTAGAACATTTTCTTTATGAATTATGTTATGTCAGTTGACCTAGATGTCCCTGAGACCATGGTCGCCAGCCCTCAGCCCCAGTTACTCAGTTCTTCAAGGTGTTTGGATGTATCTAGGAAGCTTCTACGGCTTTGCCTTGGTCAGGTTGTGCTAACTTCCCCTATATTGTGTGTTGTTTTTCCTTTCACCCAGGTTAACACTTGTCTACTATCTAGTTAGTGACTTTCTCTCCTAAACCATCAAAGTTTTTTTTTTTCCGTGTGTAAACCTTTTCTGAGGTTTTTATAATAGTGGTCTCATACAATATTTGTCCTTTTCACTCAGCATAATGCCCTCCAGATTCATCCATGCTGTGAGATGTTTCACGGATTCATCATTGTTCTTTATCATTGCGTAGTATTCCATTGTGTGTAGGTACCATAATTTGTTTTTCCATTCATTTGTTGATGGGCACTTAGTTTGTGTCTATCTTTTTGCCGTTGTGAATAATGCTGCAGTGAACATGGGTATGCATGTGTCTATTCATGTGGTGGCTCTTATTTCTCTAGGATATATTCCTAGGAATGGGATTCCTGGATTGTATGGTATTTCTATTTTTAGCTTTTTAAGGAGGCACTGTACCATTTTCCATAGTGGTTGTACCATTTTACATTCCTGCCAGAAGTGCATAAGAGTTCAAATCTCCCAGCAACCTCTCCAACATTAGTTATTTTCTGTTTTTTAATTTGTGCCAGTAATGTCGGGATAAGATGGTATCTCATTGTAGTTTTGATTTGTATTTCTCTAATGGCTGATGATCTCGAGCAGTTCCTCATGTGTCTGTTAGCTGCCTGAATGTCTTCTTTGGTGAAGAATCTGTTCATATCCTTTGCCATTTTTTAATTGGATTGTTTGTCTTTTTGTTATTGAGGTGTTGCAGTAGCTCATAGATTTTAGAGATTAGACCCTTGTGGGATATATTGTAGCCAAAATTTTTTTTCCCCAGTCTGTAGGTTCTCTTTTACTCTTTTGGTGACATCTTTTGATGAGCATAAGTATTTGAATTTTAGGAGCTCCCGGTTATCTAGTTTCTCTTCTGGTGTTTGTGCGTTGTTATGGTTTGTATTCAGTTTATGACATGTATTAGGTCCCCTAGCATTGCCTCTATTTTTTCTTCCATGATCTTTATCATTTTAGCTTTTATATTTAAGTCTTTAATCCATTTTAAGTTAGTTTTTGTGTATGCTGTGAGGTATGGGTCCTGTTTCATTTTTTTTTACAGGTGGACATCCAGTTTTGCCAGCACCATTTGTTAAAAAGACTGTGTTTTCCCCATTTAATGGACTTTGGTCCTTTGTCAAAGATCAGCTGACCATAGGTGGATGGATTTACATCTGGGTTCTCGATTCTGTTCCTTTGGTCTATGTGTCTGTCATTGTACCAGTACCAGGCTGTTTTGACTACTGTAGCTGCATAGTAGGGTTCTGAGATCAGGTAGTGTGAGTCCTCCTACTTTGTTCTTTTTCTTCAGTAACGCTTTGCTTATCCAAGGCCTCTTTCTTTTCCATATAAAGTTAATGATTAGTTTTTCTATCTTGTTAAAGAATGCTGTTGGTATTTGGACCAGGATTGCATTATATCTGTAGATCACTTTGGGTAGATTTGACATTTTCACAATTTTGAGTCTTACCATCCACAAGCATGGTATGTTTTTCCATATATGTAGGTGTCTTTTGGTGTCTTGCAATAGTGTTTTGTAGTTTTCTTTGTATAGGTCTTTTACGTCCCTGGTTAGATTTATTCCTAAGTATTTTATCTTTTTAGGAGCTATTATAAACGGTATTGTTTTCCTGATTTCCTTTTCAAAGTTCTCGTTGTTGATGTGTAGGAATCCAACTGTTTTTTGTCTGTTAATCTTGTACCCTGCTACTCTGCTGAATCATTCTATTAGTTCTAGTAGTTTCCTTGTAGAATCTTTGGGGTTCTCAATGTATAGTATCATATCAGCTGCAAATAGAGATAGTTTTACTCCTTCCATTCCAATTTGAATGCCCTTTATTTCTTTTACTTGTCTTATTGCTCTAGCTAGGACTTCCAGCGCAGTGTTAAATAGGAGTGATGATAAAGGGCATCCTTGTCTTGTTCCCATTCTCTGGGGAAATGCTTTCATCCTCTCTTCACTGAGAATGATGTTGGCTGTTGGTTTTATATAGATGCCTTTAATTATGTTGAGGAATTTCCCTTCTATTCCTATTTTATTGATAGTTTCTATCAGTAATAAGTGTTGGACTTTATTAGATGCCTTTCTGCATCAATTAAGATGATCGTATATGATTTTTTCTTTTGTTCTATTTATGTGGTGGA